ATTTTCATTTGTAAAAATGATTTAAGTTCATTGTATCGATTTGTGCATGAGCAACATGAAAGAATTGTGAAAACCAGCATTTTTACAGTGTATGGTTATAAGTGACAGGCAAATGCAAATATATAGGCATTTTGCCGCATTTCTTTTAAGCAGTAAATGTAACGAGTCATTATTTAAAACATGAAGAAAACAATCAAACAACAACAACAAAAAATCACTATACCAAGGCTGCACAGTTTTACACAGATTTTTACTTCAAAATCATATTGCCAGACCCCACAGGACTCTTCAAACACCCATAAAGGGAATGTATGCACACACTTCACCCCGACTGATAACTACAGGTCCCATCTCTATAGGGAAAATCTAATCAATCCTTTCCCTACGATCAGCACTAACTTCATTGATTGTATAGTTATTGTGACACATGTGGTGGCAGCAGACGCTTGACTCCACGCTCCAATGAAACATGGCTCATTTATGAGCCTAACCATCCTGCATGGCCAGCCTGCAGCCTCTGACAAAGTGGTTATGGATGTTGGCAATTTAATGGTAGGTGTGTGTGTGTGTGTCTTTTCTAGAGAGTCAGAGACAATAATATGGGTCTGGGGAGGTGATAAAATCGAAACGAGGTTGTAGTCACATGACATTACCAATCTTTACTAACATTAAGGAGGCTTTGCTCATTGACAAGACAATTTAAACAAATAAATACTGTTAACGCCAATGAAACCTTTGAATGATGAATAACATCCTTGTTGCCCTGGAGACAGTGAGTACTGACATTTCAGCTGAAGGTTGAAATGTAATTAAACCAGAAGAGGTCAAGAGAAAGGTCATAAACAATGCATAGGACCAAACATAAATCCATGCATTAATTCTGCTCTGCAAAGCAAAGCACATGTAAAGCCATTATTTAGATTTATAGATGCATACATGCTGCCATTTTATTGTAGCATGCCATTAAAATTGCACAAATCTAGCGTCTTTATATTTGAACTATTGTATACATACACTACCCTTTTAACTTTTCAGTAATTTACTTTTCAGTGAACTAGAATTTATTTGTAAGGCAATTGTGTTTTCATTTTTTTCTTTAGCAACTACATGTCACTGCTGGGAAAAATAAAAATGCTTTATTTAGAGTCTAAAATATATTATTATGCAATTATATTTTATGTATTTTTACACTGAAGCAGAATCCATTAATTAAACAAGGAGTAAATCATCTTCTTTCCAGTAAACAAGGCTAATTTTATTCTGTTATTGATTTATTCTGCTAATTAAGACTTGCCCATATTGGTCTCCATTGATTATAAATGTTTCATATTTTCAGAACACACATCCTTTACTTAAGTACGCTCATGTTAAATATGACTCTGGTAAAAGATGAAGGACTGATTTTTGAAGGACATTTATTATAAGTAAAAGGAAAAGTCAAAATGTACAGCCTCAAAAGTATCTATTACTACTTTCTATTTTAGTTTAATGCTAATAACTTGACTCCACATTTTATTTATAAATGTATACAAAAAAATAAACATTTCTATATTTTTATAAATAATAAATGTTTTAAATGTACCCATTAATTATACCCAAACATTTTTTTCTTTTGCTAAAATAAGTATTTAAATATCAGAGTTTTGCATTAAACCATCTGCTTAATTCTCTTCAAATAGCAGCTCTCATGCTGCTCCTTTGATTTCAGTACTTGTTTGTTTTGTTTTTCCAAAGCCAGATTTAAATAGCAATGTGTCTCCCTTGTTTACCTGTGATCCAATCAACCATATATATATATATATATATATATATATATATATATATATATATATATATGAGGCAGTGGCGCAGTAGGTAGTGCTGTCGCCTCACAGCAAGAAGGCCGCTGGATCGAACCTCGACTCAGTTGGTGTTTCTGTGTAGAGTTTGCATGTTCTCCCTGCCTTCGTGTGGGTTTTCTCTGGGTGCTCTGGTTTCCCCCACAGTCCAAAGACACCTGCGGTACAGGTGAATTGGGTAGGCAAAATTGTCCGTAGTGTATGAGTGTGTGTATGAATGTGTGTGTGGATGTTTCCCTTAGATGGGTTGCGGCTGGAAGGGCATCTGCTGTATAAAAACTTGCTGGATAAGTTGGCGGTTCATTCTGCTGTGGCGACGACTAAGCTGACAAGAAATGAATATATATATATATATATATATATATATATATATATATATAGAGAGAGAGAGAGAGAGAGAGAGAGAGAGAGAGAGAGAGAGAGAGAGAGAAAGAGAGAGAGGAGTTTGCATTTTCTCCCAGTGTTTGCGTGGTCCTCCAGGTGCTCTGGTTTCCCCAAGTCCAAAGATATGTGGTATATGTGAATTGGGTAAGCTAAATTGACCATATTGTATGTGCGTGAATGATTGTGTATGGGTGTTTCCCAGTGATGGGTTGTGACTGGAAGGGCATCCGCTACGTATAATGTGCTGGATAGGTTGATGGTTTATTCTCCTGTGGCGACCCCAGATTAATAAAGGATTAATCAATGAATTAATTATTATTATAATTAGTAATACTGCTACTACCACTAGTTCTACTTTCAAAAGTACTTTCAGTGACATTCTGCACTAGCAAATTCCACAATTTTGTTTACACTTTCTGAATTAATAAATCCCCATTGCCGCACCATTTAGCTGAGCTAAAAAGTTAGACTGGACTTTTACTCCAAGAATGCACACGACAGCAGTAATTTGGAAAAAAAAAAAAAAAGTTTGTTGCTCAATCAAAATCTTGAGAAAAGTGTTTGCTTGGACAAAGCTACAGTATATACCTACAGGTGCCTGGGCTTTATTCTAAAGGCACACACAAACTGTACTGTTACAGAACACATGAATCCAATTGTTTACTGTACTAAAGGCATAGTCCTCCCTCCCCTTTTTAACTGATGTAAAATCAATTACTCCTTTGATGTCATTACATATGCTTTGTACATTTTATGCCATAAGGAATTTCTACAATCCAACTTCTCCTTTTATCTTTGATAAAAGATTGCCTGCAAGCTACTATAGAGCACATCTTCTATGCATGGCATAATGTGGCCTTGACCGTTTTGTTCCACACCAACCAGTCTACTGAGCAATTCAAAAAGACAGGCATTTCTCTTGAGGTGGTCCAATGTGAAGTCAGTCACTCTGCTGTCAACACTGGCTTTGAAGGATAAAAATGTTATGTGAGCTGCTCTGGAAAACTGCTGACAATACAGTAGCTTTGAAAACGGAACACTTTGAGGACAGATGCCCTCTATGACTGTGACATTCTGTAGGCTCTCTTTGAAAGCTGAATATTTTCATCTCCACAGCCAATATATGGGACTGGAACTCTTCCAAATTACTCATCAAAAGAAAAACTTGTAATATTTTTTCATTCTATACATATATATATATAATCAAAATAAGGCTATCTGTACATTTTTTTACAGCCCAGCTCAGCTCCTAGTTGAGATGTTCATTAATTTATGTAGTATAAATGACAAAGCAGTACATCCCAAATTAGTAGGCTGCACAAATGTTCAATGATTAGCCTAAGCAGTACCAGGATAAATGAACTTTGACAAATACAGTGCTCAGCATAGATTTGTACACCCCTCACAAATCTATCTTTTAAATTCATATTTTTAACAGGAAGCTTTACAGTATTTGTGCATGTACATTAGATTAGTCATTACTGAAGCCAAATCTAGAGCTTATCTAACAAACGTATGATAACGGTCCAAAAATAAGCACACCCAGATTTTTTATAGAAAAAATGGAATTAAAAAAAAAAAAAGAAAAATCAAGAGAAGCAAAAAAATAAAAAATTTCGTAGGTTATATATATATATATATATATATATATATATATATATATATATATATATTTTTTTTTTTTTCGATATTTTCGATATTTTGCTTGAATTTAATTGTATTTTCTTTCAATTTCTGAATTTCAAAACTGAATAGGTCTAACTACTGATGAACCCTAATTATTTTGGCAAAATAAAATGTGTAGTTCTGGTGAAATAAAATAACTGTAATCAATAAAATGTCCGTCATATTAAAGTAAATACATGTGAATTCAGAAAATCTGAAAACTTCAGAAAAACATCAATTGTACTAGCTTTTTAGATTTGATATAGAAAGACATATTTATTTAGATATGATATAGCCAGTCACATCTGTCACTGTAATATAGTTAAATCACAGTGAGTTCATGCATATAGCTTATCATTTTACTATAACATGCTATGTCAGTTAACATCAGATTATTCATTCATTTTCTTTTTGGCTTAGTCCCTTTATTAATTTAGGGTCACCACAGCGTAATGAACTGCCAACGTATCCAGCATATGTTTTAAGCAGCCCTTTGCCCTTCCAGCTGCAACCCATCTCTGAGAAACATCCATACACACTCATACACTATGGACAATTTAGCCTACCCAATTCACCTGTACCGCAAGTCTTTGGACTCAGGGATGCAGGGAGAACATGCAAAATCCACACAGACACGCCAACTGACCCAGCAGAGGCTCGAACCAGCGACCTTCTTGCTGTGAGGCGACAGCACTACCTACTGCGCCACTGCATCACCCACTTCGGATTGTAAATCAACTTTATTTAATGTCTGGAGGAAGGTGGAGGATTTTTTGGGGCTCAGCCTTTTAGCCCCCTTGACCCTAGCAACGCCCCTGAGCTACAGTACATCATCTTACATCCACATTTAGTCTAACCTACTGTCACATAGCCTATGGGGTCAACGTTTTCAAGTCCTTTAAGCTGTTCCGATTTTCTTAAAGTTGATGAAACTAACTGCATTAATGAACAAAGTTCCAAAGTAACACAGAAAGCAGGTTCTGCGAAATAAATACTGTATGCGGATTTTTCACACATGCATTCAGTAAATGCGTGGAAATCAATTCATATAGGAACAGAGAGAGAGAGAGAGAGAGAGAGAGAGAGAGAGAGAGAGAGAGAGAGAGAGAGAGAGAGAGAGAGAGAGAGAGAGGCGGGGATCGTCGGCGCAAGGCAAAACGGAAAATCCGTCTTCGACAATAAGAATCAAGATCATTCACCGTATCTATCTGTAGCTGAATACAGACGCGTTCGGTGCGCCGATTTCATATCCAAGGGGGAAAACAAAACGATTTTAAAGGCAACTCGGGTGGAAACGAGATGTTTTTGGTTTAAGCGCTTGAAGTGGAACTTGGGTAGCCGAAGTCTTGGGCGTATTTCCACTTTTGTTCGATACGGTCGAATTGAAAACCAACCGACGTTGAGCGCATCAAATCTCCCCCGAGCGCCCGGTGCTGATGAGGGCTTTGTCGGTGTGATCGGTGCGCGATGGCCGCTTCGGGCGGACAGAAGAGTGAGAAGTTAGATGAAGCTCAGGCTTTAGCCAGGAGTTGCGCAGGACGACCGGACTTTCTGCCCTGCGATGGACTATCCATCTGCGCCACACACAGCCACGGGAAATGTTTCAAGCTGCACTGGTGCTGTCATCTGGGTTGGTGCCACTGTAAGTATTCGTACTGTCTTTCTCCAGCACCGTTTAGATGTGGATAGACGAAGTATAGGCTGCTATCAGTTGCACAAAACAGATGATCCACGAAAAGACTTTAAAATATCACCCACAAGGAAAAGAGCTGCGCCCTAACAGTTCATCAGTGGCCAGTAACCCATTAAAGACGTTATGCTAGAAAAATGTAGGTGAATATGATCAATTTTAAGCTTAAAACTATGTTTTTTTCGGTCAAGACTTGTGATGTAATAAAACACAGATTTAGTGCAGAGTCTCGTGGAAATTCTTTTGTTCTTATTTCCATAAGCTATTTTTTAGGCTATTATTATTATTATTATTATTATTATTATTATTATTATTAATATTATTTTTATTAACCTACTTTTTAACCAGATCTAGCCAGATGTAGGCTAATAAAGGCTTAATTAAACCGTCTTTGAGTTTTTTTTTTTTTTTTTTTTTTTTGTAGAGAGCACAATATTCGAAGCTCGACGATACTCTTGCAAATTTAACTTGGCAAAAATAGATTAGAAAATAATTATTTTTTAATATCATATGGTAAAAGTGCAGTAACTAGTAATAGAAAAGTCAAACAGACAAATGTTAATTAATCTGATAACCATGCAAAGTTTATCATCGGCATCTGCGTATGTAGCAATAGCATCCGCTTATCTCATATTCTCAGAAGGATGGAAATCTTTCGTTAGTGTCACTCGTGAAATATTAAACAGTTCTATAAATGATGGATAAACATCTTAGCCTACCACTGGTTGTGAATGTAGTCCCTCCAAGGAAGCTTTATAAAAACAGTTTTAAATCAATCTTTGAAGTGGGCTAAATGGGAATAAACATTGCTGTTATGATTGCCATGACGGAAGACACAAAATGATAAAGATAGGCTAGATACCATCAAATATTATGGTTCAGCGTAGCAGTTAGTATTAAAGTTATTACAGGAATTTCCAAAGATGATCAGATGCACCGGGGGAGGGAGCTATTTCTTAGACTTTATTCGTGCCTTATTTTTTACACACTCATATAACGTAACGTAGCGTATTTTGTACACATTTGTGATTTGAAATGTGCCTTTTAGAAAGCTCTTTGACAACTTTAACAGAAATTTATCAAATAATACTGACATTTAGAGATGCTTGATTTATTTAATTTTTGTTCTTTTTTAAGTACAATGAAGTTTACATTTTATTAAAATTGAAATAAAAAAGTTATAAAAATAAAATTAAAAGTTTATTATTATTATTATTATTATTTATCAGTATAACAACAACAATAATAATAAAAATAATAATAATAATAATAATTATTATTATTATTATTATTATTATTATTATTATTATTATTTTATGGTATACTGACTTTAAACAAGTTATATGTTTTAACAAATCTTAAGTCATGTTTTTCTCTTTGTTTGAACAAATGTTTTTTGTTCAAAAGTTATTATGTAAATATGTAAGTCATCAGCTTTAAAAAGAAAAAGAATAAATGCAGAACTTTACTAGTGAAAACGTCAAAATTTGCAAAAATGATTGAATACAATTACAGGATCTAACACAAAAAGACTTTTAGGTTTTTTTCTTGGTATAATGACCAAGACTGTACTAGTAAAAGGGAATTACCATGATTATAAAGAATGATCATTATAGAGGAGGAAGTCAACAGCAGAACAAAGCTGAGCACTAAGATGTCTTCATGAAGAAGTGATACGATTAGGCCATTTCGGATGTCAGATACAAATGGCAGTCATTGTGAGGCTAACAGATGTCTTATGACTGTGAAGGAGGGAGCAGATTCTTTAGATTCCTGCGATGTCTGATAATCATCTCCAAATGTGTGTGTGTGTGTGTTTAAGAGAGCAAAAGAAAAGTGGAGGGAGGTGGAATCAGTGACACAAGTCATATTCTTCTCTTAGTTTGAACACATTTATTTGTATAAATATACATAAATAAACAAACAAATAAGTGGCATGACCTGGTATAAGTTTCTGACAGTATGACAACCTTGGATAAAAAATACCACAGTTTCACGATATTGTGATTATTGCTCTAAAATAAATTCTTTTCAAATGTCTGGGTAGGAAAAACTTTTTTTTATTCCATTTTGAACACATTTTTTTATTTATTTTAGGAAACATTATATTTTATGATATTTTGGAACAGTAAACATGTCAGGCTAAATAAATAAAATAAATAACTGACTTTGTTCTCTTCATCAAAAACACAGATTTCTTTACAATACATAAAAAACACATTTTAAAAAATTACATATACCTCAGAAACGGTATAACAGAACATTTAGTGGTATTAAAACCTTGACTTTTCCTAACCGTGGTAAACCTTGAAACCGGTTATCGTCCCATGCCTAGTAAGGAGGTTTTTTAACACTGAATGCAGATTCTTTTGGGCAAGTGATTCTAAAATGCGGTCAGTATAGGTTAGTTTCAATATGCCGTTGCATAAATACTGGGCTTCTGCCAAAATACTGTCTGATTCTTAAGTCTCACTTCCTGTTCTAAAATCTGTGAAGCAATGTAGATCAATTTTAAAAGAAAGGTTCTGTGAGAAATCCACTATCAAGAAAAACCACAGTAGAAGAAAAAACATTTGCTATTTATTTGTTTATTAGAGACACATAACCCTTTAAGTAACTTTGGCTTGGAGCTATGAAAAATAAATCCAACAATGTTGCGACTTTTCCTGACTGACAAGTTGAAAAGGAAATTAATCAGGATATGACAGGGTTCACATAGCTCTGTCAGAGGTCAAGCGCTACTGACCTTGTTGCTAAGTTGGGCTTTTTTATCTCAGCTTTTAAAGGTCAGCTCAATTTATTCCAAGCTTTAAGGTCTTAGCTTTGGCTTTGCTTTTTTAAAGTTCAACCTTTCGCTTTCAGAAAAAAAAATTATAGTGGTCAAGTCTTTGAGCTTCTAGACTCGCTCAGTATTAAAATACAAAGTACAATATCAAACCCATCAACCACTTGAAGCTAAATTTATTATGCTTGTTGACCTCCGATTCCAATTAAATTAATGAATTTCAACAGAATCAAGTAGAAGTACAACATTAAACTCACTTAACACTTACAGTATGATAGTAGTTATAGTCATTCATTCATTCATTAATTTTCTTGTCGGCTTAGTCCCTTTATTAATCTGGGGTCGCCACAGCGGAATGAACCACCAACTTATCCAGCAAGTTTTTATGCAGCAGATGCCCTTCCAGCCGCAACCCATCTCTGGGAAACATCCGCACACACATTCACACACACTCATACACTATGGACAATTTAGCCTACCCAATTCACCTGTGCCACATGTCTTTGGACTGTGGGGGAAACCGGAGCACCCGGAGGAAACCCACGCGAAGGCAGGGAGAACATGCAAACTCCACACAGAAACACAGAGGTTCGAAGCAGCGACCCAGTGACCTTCTTGCTGTGAGGCGACAGCACTACCTACTGCGCCACTGCCTCACCCATAGTTATATTCCAGTACTAATAATTAGGTTCCAGAAGTTCAATAGCATCAGGATGCAAAATTGCAGTTACAATTTAAGGAAACAGAATTAAGAATGACTGAGTAAATGAAGTAATTAAGATGCCTTTTCTTTCCACAAAATAATCTAAAGTTATTTCCTGTTAAGCATGTTTTAGGACATGAATGATGACTATGCAAAGAAAAATGTTTTCCGTAGTTGAAAAATCTGCTACAGTACATATAAGGAAATTAATGCAGAATTCTAAATCTGGGATGTTAGCAATCATACTTTAGAACCTTTTGCTGCCATTTATTTTAGGAAATTGTAGGGTTTTAACAATAAAGGAATACAATTATTCAATACATTACAAAGCTGCGTTTACATAGACACACCCACACTACATAACCGTAAAGTTCAGTCATCAGTAATTAAGCCATTATTTGTTCTAATTAAAGGGAGGATGTTTATACTTGCAATTCTAGAAGCATTATGTAAACATGTTGAATATTAATTTGATTCTTCATGCAATGCTGCACAGGCTCTCAGGCGGAACCAGTGTTGTTTAAAATGGAACGACAAGGATCCTCCTGGGAACTTGACTGACACTTGTCCTACTTGTGAGCGGAATTGCATGCGTTTTGTCTCCTTTCATGGCCCAATAAAGTTAATAAGAGTATTGCATACATGTGCGTGGGTAAATTGAATAATAAAATTTACTAGGCCATTTTAGTAAATATTAAAATAAAGCAGGCAACATGTATAGTTGCTAAACCTAGCATTTTTAATGTTTTATAATTTTGTTTATGCACCATATAATGTATAAACAAAAATAAATGTTATGATCATTACTACTTCTGTAAATTGATAGGAGAAAACTTGTGATCTTACCTTTTTACTTGTCATCTTTACAGGTAAGAAAATGGCAGCTGTGTTTTTTTTTTTGGGATTATGCAGAGGCACATAATGATGACGTGATAATTTTTGATTGGCTGATGGAGTTTTTGTCCCTGGGTCATCATAAAAAAGTTGGTCTCAGGACAACTAGCACTTGGCAAATTCAGGACGTGCCTGTGTAATTGATGAATGCTGTACCAACAGATATCCATATCACAAAATAAACTACAGGCAAGGTTATTAGCTCTTGAAGGTGCTTTATTTACTGAAAATGGACAGCTGACTATACAACTTTCCATTTATAACATAACTGCTTATAAAATAAATGAATCCTAAAATAGATAAATATTCTAAACAAACAATATTAATAAAAGAGAAATAAAATGTGTGGCACAGTGACTCAGATCAGATACAAAAGAAGAAACATCTTACACAGATGGTACACATTTATAATACACATATTTTTCCATATGTACATTGATTATAGTGAATTTTAGGAAAAATATTTCATGTAGTAGACACCTTTAAAAAATGGCCGTGCAAAAACTGATCCCAAGATCCCATGATACAGTACAAGAAAACATGGAAACAAGAAGTCACTGTACACTATAAAGCCCAGAGGCAGTTAGAAATGTATTTATACACACTTGCAGGAGTGAATAACTGAATAAAGATAGGCTTTGTCCTTTGAGATAAGCCTTTTAGAGCAGTTCTCTGCAGCCCCTAGAGAATTCTGTTGTTTTTCACTCTCGTTTTTCTCCTTTTCTGTCTTTTATTTGTCTTTGCTGTTTGGATGTGTGTAAACACAGCAGTCGTTGTTCTTGTTTACCTCCCTAAAGGTTAGGAGAAAGGATATGCCGTTCAGGGACTTCAAACTGTAGAGGAAGCCTTTAAGAGTTCAGTAAATCTACTGTGTGTGTGTGTGTGTGTGGTTAGATTTTGAGTTCTTCGGAAATTAAATTTTATTTACGGTTGTTAAAACTGTTATTTGGCAGCCACCAGATGTCTTTCAGAAATGTTTCCTTCCAGAGGCACCAGTGTATTGGTGTTCTGGGTGTAATTCTGTTCTGTACTTGTCAAGCTTTGGTGGAAAAGGAAGTTAGAGAGCTAAGTTTCTCCCAGCAGGCTGTGGGGTAGACCGTAGCAAGTCAGTACTATCATTCGACTTAACCTTGTTTAGTGTCAATAAGATGCCATTTTCCCTAATAGTTGGAGTGTAAGTAGAAACTGTGTTAGCTGACCAATAGGTAATTAATGGGACTTCAGTTTTTACAGTGCACTGAAGATGATTATTAGGGGCCCCAGAACATACAGCTCTCATACTGTAGTGTGAGCAAATTACTATAAGGTCACATGCCAAACAGCCCTGTACAATGTAAGATTATCAATTGGGGAACCAGGACTCATATACAGTGTGTATTACCAAGAACCAGGGGGCCCTCAGTGTTTTCATGAAAAATTAAATAATAGAAGCTACAGAACACTAAGTACAGGGTACTGTATGCTGATTTTTTTTAAATCCTCATTGCAAAGGCTGATTTATACTTCTTATATTTTTTGTAATTCGGCACAGCCTTCATGTGGTCGCATAGCCCTCACCATGGCTGACACCAACACTGATGCGCACCTATAGCTAAAAATATATATATAGCTACACATCGCTACGACGTGTAGTGCAAGCCGACCAAGTGATTGGTCGGCTTAGTTGCACTGATGAGTATGGGCGGTGCTGGATGGAGGGATTGTTTAAGTGTTGAGTCCCTTGATGGAGCTCCAGATGAAAACTTTACCAAGGCCACTTAATGAGCCTTTAGTAGATTACTAGGGGCCAAGTATTTACAGCGAAGGTGATGGATACTCTACAGTAGAGTCCCCATTGTTATCAGAAAATTTTTTTGATGTAAGATAATTACTAAGGCCCACCAGGATTAACAGAGCAAACAGTGATTGTTGAATACAACAGAAACAATTTAAGCTGAGAATCAAATCATCAGTAGAGAATCATTAAGCAGTAGAGAATCTATGGGTCCTGAGTATTTACAGGAAGGTCATCACTAGGAGCTCTTGGTGTCATTAACACATACTGTACAGTATAAGATAATTACTAAGGGCCTTAGGACCCTCAGCGCATGCATGTACATTGGTTACTAGAGGCCTCAGTCTGTACGGTTCATTGCCTTGGACCCAAAGACCCTCAGCCCACACTGTAAAACATAAAGTTTCACACAATTTATTCATGTTGCCTCAACACAAATTGATAAAAACAAATGTAAATGGATTAAAAATAAAACATTTAAATTATCCCAAAAATTTGTTACAGCTAATGTTAAATACTAGGCTCCCAACAGAATATATTATACAGTACAGGATGAGTACTAGGGCTCTGAGTCTATCCACATACAGTACAAATCCACATACAGTACATGGTGATTACTTGGGACCTTAGGCTTCTCAGAAGACACAAGTTTAAAGTGTTTTAGACTTGTAGGTAATCCACGGTTATTAGATAAAGAAGAGAAGTGATTTTGACAGGAGAATAAATCAGATTTTTGAATTTTATTGTAAATTTTACAAAAGACAGAGAATAAGTATAAGGGCTCGGGCAGATAGAAAAAGTCAGGCAGACTGCAAGTGATTGTTCTACTTGAGGTGAGCCAAGAAGCAAATGTGAATGGCCTTGCCTGTCTATCTAATCCTGATGAATGATTCACACTAAGAGATTTTCACGGCTTTGATCATCAGTCTTCAGGCAAGCCCACCTTCACACTTCTCAGTGACTGGTCCAATCTGTAATTGCAGGATAGAGATTGTTGGAGTGTAGAATCAACTCCTGTCATCTGTGACTACTTTTCTAATCAGAGTTCACTCTCAAGCTTTTCTCAAAATGTTCATTACATGTAGCTTGAGAGAAACTACAGTTTTCTCAGCACTTGTTTCACCGAAGTTCTTCAGGGTTTATTTTGAAAGTGGAAGAAAACTGACACAAATTATTTACCTCCATTCCAAATCTACAGAGCCTTTTACAGGGCATGCTAAAACAAACACACACAGCAAATTAAGAATTAATTTCTTAAAAATAATAAAAATAATTAATTCACCCATGTCAATTGTTTGCATGATACAATAATTTGGTGCCTCATTTTGATTTTGGTTTACAGGAAAAAAAGAAAACGTATCCGAAACCCAAGAATCTGCAGATTCTTAAAAATATGATTTTATTTATTTATTTATTTTTTTTTTTTTTAATGAAGAAACTAAGTAAAACAGGTCTTAAACAACATGAAGGTTTATGTAAAAAGTTCTTGGGATAAATAATTGTTTAGCACCACAAACTCTGTAAGTCTGTAAGATCTGTTGGGAAAGAAGAGCATATTAGCTGGTCAGCATTCAGTTTCACTTTTTTTTTTATCTGGGTTATCAACCATAACCAGAAAGATTTCTGTGGTTAAACAAAAACATCATGTTTTTTGATCATCTTCACCAACTGTATTTTGCTGGTGTTCAGAACAAAGCCAGCATAAATCAACAGGATCAGCACAAAACACTGTAAAATAAGATAAAATGCTCTAAGAACTCAACTGCAAATAAACTCATTTATTTGCAGTTAATTGGTAGTTGTCAATTCTCCAGACTGATCAGTAAAAGTGACCAGTTTGCATTATAGTCATATTCCAGTTTTTCAATATAAAAATTATTGTAAATATCAAATCATAATTACTCAAATCCGTAACTTAATCGATTCTCATTCCTTTTAGTCTTTAATTTCTGATTTCTGATGCTCAGAATGCAACTGTGTATAACAGGATATGGAAAGTCCTGGTCACATCCGCCTGTAAACCCCAACTGTACAGTACATCAGACTTTGTTTGCACAATATTTGTATGAACACAAGAGCTCAAAGCCTAAAAATAAGACCAACAATCACAGGATTACTTCTTATCGGCAGACACATTCTGTCTCTCTCAGTCAGCAGAGGTTTAAAAAATCCTGTTATCCCATAAATGGGAAAGGTTTTGGATTTTCCACTGATAAAACCTACCATAATACTCACTGGATCACTCAGATCTTAATTATGCATTATAAACAGTGTTTGAATTGCACTCTCACAATAATAACTGGCCATTTTATGACTTTTTTCTCTGCGGTTTTATCAGATACTTGAAGTCAAACACATTGACAGCTTCTTAACTTTTGTTTTTTCCCACAGAGGTAAACCCATGGATTTCATTGAAGAACATTTGTGTTCAATAGCAATTAGGTAGGCCAACAGGGAATTTGTGTACACAGAAAAATGCAGATTTCTATTTATTTACTTGTGTAAATGTGCGTAAAATCATATTTATTCAGTTTTTAAATTTTGTAATATTATTGCCTAATATGAAAATTTTCATATGATTTATTTACAATAAGGCTTGTAAAGAAATATTTTAGTAAACATATAAAAGACTTTGTTTTTGTTTGTGCTTTGTTTACAAATTAAGTGGATCTAATTGGATTTGTATTGTAAATAATAAATAAAAGTTAAAAAGATCATATTGTTTTAGCTTAAATCTGAAGATCTTTTAGAAAATATAGCATAGAAAAAGCAAAAAATGTCCACAGATTTTGTCTGGCCCTGCTTAAAAGTTATGGTAATTTTATCATTGTGAATATATGCTGGGAAGCTAAAATGGAATTATCATGACATGATAATTTAGTGCATGATTTTCATTATCATTATCAG